GAGAGGCCGCGTGCGCAGGCACTGGCTGGTCCTTGGGTCCCGCAGGAGTACAGGCTGGCTGCTTTCCCAGTTCTTGCTGTCATCAAGAGGACAGCGCTGTGGGCCAGCGTGGGTTGGGTACTGAGTGGCTGCTGAGCCTGCAGTCCTGGGGAGTGTGTCTCCCCGAGTGACAGGTCGCACACAGTGCTTGTCACCCTCCGGTGCCATGCTCAGAGCCTGAGAAGGCCCAGTGTCTGCCTATCTCCAGGCCAGCCGCAGCAGGCAGGGCAAGCTGGCAGCACATCCCTCCATTTGGAATCATAGTAGGTAGCTTCAGGCAAGCAAGCAAGCAAGCAAGGCCTGTGTCTTTCCTCGTCTCGCGTGGGTGTGTCTATCAGGATCCAGAGAGGACGGTGAGGGCTGGCTGCCAGTGCCTCTTGGACAGGGCAGTCCTAGCCCAGCGTGCTGCCAGGCACTGGGGAGCCCAGTCCATACCCAGGCTTTTTTTTTTTTTTTTAATAAAAGTCCAGGAGGTGAGCCTATGTGCCCTTCACGTGCATATGAGGGTTTGTCCCTCTAGCTCCTCCGTGTCCTCATGGTGTCATCCCACAACCCAGACGCCGTGTTTAGATGGTCCAAGGACCAGTCCTTGGACAAGGACCAGAAGGCTTTGCTTTAATGAAAGCAAGCATATGCATAACACACCAGCTCCCTGACTGCCCCGCTCTGGTGACTCTTTTCATGAAAGATCTCTGAAATGTTATCTGCATTTACACCCAGACTCACTCGCTTTGATCCTTGAAACGGGAATCAAAGATCACATTGTACCTTCCAAGGGTCTGTGGGGTTTTCAGTAGCCTGGGCCAAAAATAATAAAAGTGGCACCCAACCGGGAAACACCTCCTTGAAGTGTGAATGAAACTTGGATTTTTTTTTTTCGGTTGTATCTTTCCTAATTGACCTGATAATTTAAACTTCCTCCCTTAAGGGGAGGGGTTGTTTCTGTGAATTCCGATCACCCGGAGGCCCCAAGCAGCTGGAGCCAACTCCCGGACTAATCAGCAGAGAGTGAGCAGCAGGCTTGTATGAAAGACCACACAACAAAGCCCCTCCTGCATAGGTAGGCCTTTTCCAAACTGCCTTTTAGTTTTATTTTAGGGCATCACCTCAAATGTGCATGACAAAATTTATCGTAGTAACCATTGTAAAGTATGCAATGTAGTAGTAGTAGTATTAATAAATATATTCACAAGGCTGTGCATCCTTCATCACCATTTGCAGAGCCATTTCATCACACCAGAAGTTCTCCATTGAACACTGAGCCCTCATCTCCAAACACTGAGCACCCACCATTTTGAGTCTAAATTTGACTGTGTGCCCACATACCTGGTGCTCACACAGTGTTTGTCCATTTGTGAATGTATTTCATTTAGTATGATTTCAAGATTCATCTATGCGATAGCGTGTGTTTAAGTTGCCTTCCTTTTAAGTGTTGACTGAGAGACTGGAAAGATGGCTCAGATGTTAAGATCACTGACTGCTCTTGTATAGGACCTCAGTTTGTTTACCAGCACCCACACTGTGGCTCACAAGCTATCTGTAACTACAGTTCCGGGGTATCTGATGATCTTTTCTAGTTTCTTTGGCACCGGGCACATACATGGCTTACTTATATACATGCAGGCAAAAGCACTCTTACATATAAAAATAAATGAAAACATTTTAAAACTAGCCAGTCTTTAATTTCAGGACTCAGAAGGCAGAGGCAGGTGGATCTCTGTGAGCTCCAGGCCAGCCTGGTCTACATAGTCAGACCCTATTTCAAAAATACCCCAAAATAAAGTGACTGACCCCCTTCTTCGAGTGACCACATTTTGTTTATCTTTCATCCCTCATAACACTGAACTGTTTGCACCTTTGGCCACTGTGGGAAATAGTGCTGTGGAATCACTGTGTCCTAGTCAGGGTTTCCATTGTTGTGATGAAACACTATGACCAAAAAGCAAGTTGGGGAGGAACGGGTTTATTTGGTTTACACTTCTACAGCAATGTACATCATTAAAGAAAGTCAGGACAGGAACTCAAACAGGGCAGAAGCTGATGCAGAGGCCACGGAAGGATGCTGCTTGCTTCCCATGGCTTCCTCGGACTGCTTTCTTATAGAACCCAGGACTACCAGCCCAGAGGTGGCCCCACCCACCATGGGCTTCGCCCTCCCCCATTGATCAATAATTAAGGACATACCCTACAACTGGATCTTATGGAGGCATTTTCTCAGTTGGTTCCCTCTTTTCAGACAAAGCTCTAGTTTGTGTCAAATTGACATAAAACTAGCCAGGACACTCTGTAAAAGATCTGTTTGAATCCCTGGTTTTAATTTTTAAAAATGTACGTGTTATGAACGTTTTTTGTTCATTTATGTCTGCATCATGTGCATGTCTGGTGCCCTCAGAGGCCAAAAGAAGATGTTGGATTCCCTGGAATTGAATTTACAGATGGTTGTGAGCTGCCATGTGGGTGCTGGGAACTGAACCAGGGTTTCTGGGAGAGCAGCAAGTGTTCTAAACCACTGAGCCATCTCTCCAGCCTGATTTTAATTCTTTAGATATCCACTAAAAAAGATTAGAATTGCTAAGTCTTACAGTAATTGTGTTTTGTTTGGTGATAAACTGCCAGTGTTCCAAGATAGTCACATCATTTCCTGTTGCCATCAGTCATGCATAAGAGTTCCAATTCCTGCCGTGCGTTGGTGGTGCACGCCTTTAATTCCAGCACTCGGGAGGAAGGGGCAGGCGGATCTCTGTGAGTTCGAGGCCAGCCTGATCTCCAGAGCAAGTGCCAGGATAGGCTCCAAAGCTACACAGAGAAACCCTGTCTCGAAAAACCAAAACAAACAAACAAACAAAAAAGAGTTCCAATTCCTCCACAAACTGCCAACAAGTAGTTATGCTCTCAGCTTGGTATGTGGACACTCAAGTTTCCCAGAACTATTTATTAAAGGCATTGTCCTTTCTCTGTCTTGGCACTTTTGTCAAAAGTTGTTTGGTACATTGGACCTTTGGCCAGCCTCCTGGCTGCTGCACCTGATTCCCTCTCTCCTCTCTCTTTTCCTCTTACCTCTCCTCACATGGCCCAGCTCAACCCCGTCATGTCCACTCTGGACCCTTCCAGATATCCCTGCCTCTGACTATGCTCTCCCACGTGTCTTCAATAAATGAACTCTTCCAATGTTAAAAAACAACAAAAATAAACAAACAAGAAACAACAGCAGTCATTTAGTGGGGCTGGAGAGATGGCAGCTCACAGCTGGCTGCAACTCTAGTTCCAGGGGATTCAACACCTTCCTTCCTCTGGCCTCCGAAGGCAATGCATACACGTGTTATACACATATTCAGACAAAACAGTCAGACTCATAAAAAATATTTTAAAAGTCACTTAATACTGCGTGCATACAAACATCACATGCACACTAATCATCATAAATATATATGAGTGTGTTTCATTTCTTTTTTTCTTTTTTTGGTTTATTGAGACAGGGTTTCACTGTGTAGCCATGGCTGTTCTGGAACTTGGTCTGTAGACCAAACTGGCCTTGAATTCACAGAGATCCATCTGCCTCCGTTGGGATTAAAGGTGTGTGCCATCACCCAGCTATGTTTCTTATCTATTGGGCTTTCTGTTATTTTCCATTGGTCTATATGTCTGTTTTTGGTTTTTTGTTTTGTTTTTTTTTTGTTGTTTGTTTGTTTTGTTTTTTGTTTTTTTCCAGACAGGGTTTCTCTGCATAGCTTTTTAGACCAGGCTGGTCTCTACCTCACAGAGATCCGCCTGCCTCTGCCTCCTGAGTGCTGGGGTCAAAGGCGTGTGTCACCACTGTACAGCTATGTCTGATTTAATGTCAGTGCCACACTGTACTGATTACTATAGCTTTGTAGTTAAGTTTGAAATCAGGAAGTTTGAGGCCTTCAAGTTTGCTGGAGAGGGAGTTGGGCGGGGGCTCCTAAGGGTTCCTTGAGACTCTTTCTGAGTTTTAGGGTTTCTTTCTCTCCCTTCCTCCCTCCTTCCCCCTCTTACTCTCTTCTTTCCTACTGAGGCAGTTTCATTCTGCAGCCTTGACTGGCAGGTGAGCGATCTCACCCCCTCGCTGAATATTTTCCATCACAGCTGGCTAATGTGTTGAAGCAGAATCCACAGACATAGAAGACTACATCTAGGGCATCTGCATATCAACCTATCCTTCATAACACACAGTATTTGAAATCCTGCTCTCTCAGCTTCTCTCACAAGCTCTGGGATTACAGGCATGCTCTGTTTAGGGTAGGTTTTTCTACTTTTCCAAAACACCACTGGAATATTAATAGTAATTGCTTAAGTCTTTAAATCACTTAGGGTGTATTGATGTTTTAAAATGTTGGGCTGGGGGCTGGAGAGATGGCTCAGAGCACTGACTGCTCTTCTAGAGCTCCTGAGTTCAATTCCCAGCAACCAAATGGTGGCTCACAACCATCCAGTATGAAATCTGGTGCCCTCTTCTGGTGTGCAGATACACAAGGAAGCAGAATGTTATATACATAATAAATAAAATCCTTAAGAAAAATGTTGGGCTGGGGTTCCAGGTGTGGTAATGCAAGCCTTTAGTCCCAAATTCCAGAGGTCAGAGGCAGGAGGATCTCTGGGAGTTAAGTACCAGCCTGGTCTACAGAGCAAGTTCCCTGTCCCACCACTCCCCCCAATAAAATAAAATGTTGGGCTAAGATTGTAGCTCAGCACTAACCCACATGCCCAATATGAATGAGACCCATCACAAATATTAAGTTTTCCAATCTGTGAACAAAGTGT